GATGATTTCCTCAGAGTATGGGCAATCCAATCCACCTTCATTTCTTCCTCCATGTTTGTTGCACTGTTGGTTCCTACTGGGTTGGTCGGTTCGCTCTCAAAAATCCCTCACTATTACTGGTCTTTTCTGGCCATCTGATCTTGAGTAGTATTGAGCGAAGACAGTTGTTGATGTGGGTCTGTAATTTCTTTGAATTGCCCTTCGTGACGCGCTGGCCAAGTCTTGGATCCGTATAGTAGCACTGACTGACTTCACATTGAAGTTGAGAATCTGGATATTATCTTTCATCCTGAGTGCTGCTGCTCCCCACACAGACTTGAAAGTAATGAAAGCTTGCCTTGCTTTCCTGGTCCTCGATGCTTTGATATACTGATCAGTTCCGTCTGACTGTAGTTGAAACGATGCTTCCCAGGTAGGTTCCGCCCATTTATGCTGGCTGATTGTTGTCTGTTGTTGCTGCTGTTGCTGTTGACCAGGAATCTTCATTACCTACCTCTGTTTTCTCTATGTTCACCTGAAGGAAGTCCTATCTTTGATGCTTCTCCTATCAATAACTTGTTGCTTTTACTTACATATCTTCGAGTGAGTGGGAAATCAGACATAGATCATCGGTGAAGTCCAGATCACCCACGTATTTTGTGTGGGTAATTTGGCTGAAATTTTACAAATATAATTTTTAATGTATCCTAAGGTTGCGTTTTATCAATATACAATATTTCACTCAACGATAAAGCAAGAAAAGTCAATGTTAAATAACATATTGAATGTCAGCTAGAATACTGGATGCTAAAAAATGAATCTTTGCAATAAATGATCTGTAGAATCAGAAGTATAGGGAGCCAGTCATATTTTATACTGGATTATGTCGAAGGAAACCATAGAAGAATCACTCATTCCTTTGTGCCCCGGAAGTGAAGTCTCAGTAGTGATGGGATGTTTTTCCTGGATGAGGGTGCTGAGCTCATGCCTAACCTACCATCTTTACCAGGATTAATATTTGATAAGAGAGATTTAAGTGTGTGCATTGGCAAGGGGTTCGACCCAGGGCCATGTACTACGATTGCTATTATTCTACTTTTTTACCACCGATATATACATATATATATTCAGGAATAAGCTAGGAAATGAGGAAAGGTTGGGGGGTGAGGCTAGTAACTTCACTCCGTAAAAGAAATACTACTATTTGTGAGACTTCAATAGTTCGAACCCCAATATTTTACTCAAAAATTAGAAGGGATGATAAAGAAGCCTCTACAGGTTATTTAATTAACTCACGTGAAACTTCTTATGAAATGCATTTCGTTTTGTTTATTTCGAGTGTTGCTGACATTCTGTTTAGATTTAGAAAATTTATTCTTACTGATAATACAGTCTCCAAGGTCTTGGCGCATTGATTACCCACAGCGTTTGGAGCATTTCTTTTATCCTATAGCTGTATGGATTGAACTTCTAACAATCTCAGAGAATAATAAGCTTGATTATTGATCATCATATTGTGAGTTTTACTCAAACCTATGTTAAGTATACAAAGCTTTTTGGTTTGATTCACTCTGAATTAATGTCCGAGCACACTGAACAGCAGTACTTTATTATCATAGTTATTCCCTTGAGTTCTGAGTGGGATATATGGCTTCAGCAACACATCTCCACTTTGTCCTATCTTTTGCTGTTCTTTTCAGCTTGGACCACGGTTGCCCATAGTTTCTCATCTCTTCGTCACACGATCTCCTCTATGCCACCCTCACACTGACGACCCACTCGTCGCTTTCGCATTAGGATTCCACTCGGGCGATGGCCTGCATTGCACACGATGTTATTCGACGGCCTTCTCAATGTATGTTTGGTCCATCCACCGCCATTTTCTCCGACATATTTGCTGAGCTATTGGCTCTTGGCTGGTTTGTTCATCGTCAGAGTTTCTTGTTGCCTATTCTTAATGGTCATCTGGCCATTTGATCTTCGGCAAAGACAACTGTCGATGAAAGTCTGCAACAGGCTGTTGGAAATCCTTTTTGTGACACGCTAGCTAAGTTTTAGGCTAGTATAGAAGAAATGACTAACTTGACATTTGTGTTGAAACTTTTAGTCTTGTTTTTCATCCTTGATCAATGAAGCAGAAGATTTCCCCTAACTGGCTTCAGGTTGATGAAGGCGTATGTGGTATTTCCAATTCTGGCTGGTTGGCTGGCTTTGACATCCGTTCTGCCTGTGGTTGAAACGATGCTTTGTAGATGAGTGAAGGAAGTAACTTCAGTCAAATCTCTCCCATTGATGGTGATAGTGTGGTGAGAGCAGGCCGTGAGAAAATATGTACAAGGCTGATTTAACAACCAATCACAGCAAAGTTAACGTGGCAAAATATGATTCGCAGATAGAGAACTCTATTTGTCGAGGAATCCCTAAACAACCAATCAGAAGCCTGCGTTTGTCTGCCTAACTTCTGATAAACAACCAATCAGATGACTGCGCTTGTCTACTTGCATAAGCTGTAATAATGTATGTGAAATATATATAAATACGTGTTGATTTTCATAATAAAACGATCTGTTGCCTGGCCCTTGTCTTCTGTTGTTACAATAGGTGCTGGTTGTTGTTGTTGTTGTTGAGGTTCATTAGTTATCTTTATTACCACAGTCTTCTCCATGTTCACGTGAAGTCCTGTCTTCGCTGGACTGCTTCTTCAGCCACTTCATTGCCTTTTGCCTGAAATTTTTCTAGTTTGTGCGACATATATATGCGACACATATGATCTGCGAAATCCACATCTTCTAAAGTTTAATAAATTAGGTAACAATGGCACACCTCCAATTTTCTAAACATGTACTGAAACACCTACGTCTCAATGGAACAAACTCTTATAATGACGCTATTACCAGGCATCTCTTTGATATAAATGATGAGGTGGAAGTCGTGAAATCCTTGAAAATTACCAATACACAGAGTAGCTTGATTCTCCTCAAGTTTGCAAAAGCAGTTTCGATTAAACACTTAAAACCAGATTTATATGTTCAGAAAGAAGCAGTTATTAGTCTTTCCTTGCCATGTTAACTAAATATCTTTATTCTCTTTTTCGTTTGATTACTCAATCTTTGGCTATAACCTCACCCTCCCTTTGATAAAGTGTAATTTCGCTTGTCTCTTGTTTCTGTGATTTGAGTTGAACTCAGTATATTGTTACCTAGTTTATTGGTCACTCAGTAGCTCACATCTTTATTACTTAACCCAGCTGCATACATTTATTTTGTTTAAACTTGAACTGCCTGCATGAAAACCATACAAGCATAATTTTCTGACCCTGTTCACTAATTGCAGAACTTTCTGTCAACTGACATCACGAAAAAAATTTGCAAGTATGTCAAAAAATTTCTGTACATGATTTTTAATAATAATTTATTCAGGCTGTAAGCAGCAGCTGACGAGAAGGCAACGAAACAAACAATTATGGTAGCATATTATTCGTCAGAAAGCACACTTGTTCTTGCTCTGTTTAAACATATGCTATCAAAATCACGAGAATAAAAATGATATATACGAACTCAGTAACGAAGAGAAATCCTGTCTCATCAACCTCGATCCTTATGTCCACATCATATTTTGATTGAACACTAGTTGCTGATTAGTAACGTGTGTCTAATCCTTCTTTTGGTGCAGACTAAATTCTAGCCGTCAAGTTTGCAGTATAAGTTACCATTGCCACTAGATGGTTTCATCACCACGATTCACTGTGAATTGTTGTCATTAGATGGTTGAAGGCAATCGGTGAGCGTCAACAACCACGAAGCTATGTCAACGTAGGCTTCCTATCGATTGCCTCCAACCAGCTTTTCTCATTAGTATTGTTTCCTTTAATTCCTACAGGAACATAGGACTTCAACCAAACGTCTGCATTGCGTTCGCTTTTCTGCCAACATTTTCATCACCTGGCTCCACGTCTGCCCACACGTTTTCATCTCCTCTCCATGTCACCCTCGCACTAACTGCCAACTCGCCGCTTCCCATTCGGATACCAATCGAGCAATGACCTGGCATGTGATGTCCCTTGGTGATTGGTTTTCTCAGAGTATGGCCAATCCACCTCCATTTCTTCCAGCATATTTGTTGCACAATTGGTTCCTACTGGGTTGGTTGGTTGGTTGGTTCGCTCTCAGAGATACTTAACTATTTGTGATCTTTTCTGGCCACCTGATCTTGATGTGGGTCTATAGTTCGTTCGAAGTGCCGTTTATGACGCAGCGCCAAGTCTCTGATCCGTATAGTAAGTAGTACTGACTTTACGTTGCGGCTGAAAATCTGGATCTTAATTTTCATGCTCAGAAGTGCTCTTGGTCTCCACACAGATTTGAGGGTAATGAAAGCTCGCCTTGCTTTCACAATCCTTGTTTTGATATCGTCATCAGCTCCGTCTGACTGTAGTTGAAATGATACTTCCCAGGTAGGTAGGTGGTGGGTAGATAGATAGGTCAAGGAGGTTGCTTGTTTCAGATTTCCACCATTTATCCTGACTGTTGTCTGTTGTTGTTGCTATGGCTGATGCCATTGGTCAGGAATCTTCCTCCAACCATCTAATTATACCATATTTATTACAAAGCTTAAAACCCCTTGAAACATTTCGAAAAGTTTTATTGATTATATTTCAATTCTGAGAATGTTTAAGATTTCATGATAAGAGCACAATAATAATAATAATAATAACGCCACTGGAAAAGTTCCCCAAACATGTGTCCATTCTATTTCGAATCTCTGAATGTTTTAAAATTCGCGGACAAAAAAACGAAAATAGTAATAATAACTATAGTAGTAATAATAATAATAATCACTAAAAGTCAGATCATTTTAAAAACATCGTTTTCATGAGAAAAAATGAACCATTTTTAAGCTGATAGTGTTATGTATGTTTCAAAATGATAATAAGTAATTCATCAACTAAATATCACATGATACTTTTCATTGGGATCATCACTATTTTCATATACATGTATATATATATATATATATATATCTTCAAAAGTTAATTATGTGAAAGCATATGTCGAGTTAAATGATGCCTCTCTTTAAATTGCTCACTGCATAGGGAACAAATTAGTTTATTTCCTGAATAATCTGGTACAACTGACGTTGACATCATTGTAGGCGTATTAGTAGTTGTGAAAGTAGCCATACTTCCTGACAATGATGTTGTTGACAACAATGAAGACTGTTCAATAGAATACACAGTATCCCCCTCTTTTCTATAATCTTCCACAGTGTATATATCTCTTTTCTCGACAGTTTATCAGATGAATGTATGTGGGCATTGTGTGATATCAGCCGACCTTTATTATGATTTGTATTCCTACCCGACTGATTATGATACGTTCGCATATGATGAACAAGGTCACTAGTCAATCGAAATGTAATAAAACAACGAGCACACCAATTCTGAGCTAATGTTAAACTATTCAGTAGGGTAGGCTGTGATTGTTTAACTCCTGTTGGTATTGTCGACGATGAGTTCGTTTTTGGCGTTGTTGTTGCCGTCGGTGGTGGTGGTGGTGGTGCTGTAATCAACTCTGGACTAGACAATGAATTGTCAACACTGGAAGTTAATGTTTGTAATAATTGTTCAACTAATGGATTACATGTTTTCAATGGTAAAACATTATTTTTCATTTTATTTTTCCGATAAACATTATTATGACTATCTTCTATGGGATTTGTAGTGATGATTGTATTCTGTTTCAATGTTTTAGGATTAACTAACATTTTATTATTAGAATGTAATTTATGCAGATATTTTTTATGCAATGATGTTATTGTTTTACTAGATAATTCACATATTTGTTCAAGGTTATTTGTTCGACCTTGATCGGTTGCTTCTCCTCTCACGCTTTTATGACACTCATTTATAAATGATGAACAAATCGACGGTGGGATAGTTCCATGGGATAGATCTTCACCAATTTTATCCAGCATACTTTGCACTTCTTTCGATTTGTTTTCAGCTATCAAATTACTGAAATTATTATTATTATTGTTGTGCAATAGAGCATCTATTCTAGTTTGATTTAAACAATCGTTGTTTATTTCATTAGGATAGGGATTTGAAATTGGCGGTTGATTGATCAATTGAATATTTTGTGTTACAGATTGTTTTTGACATTTAAATAAACAATGTGAGATATAAGGATATATGTAGATGAATTCACTATTGCATTTAGGACATTCAAATTTATCTAAAAGGGGGAAACAACGGAGTGTTTAGTTATATATCGCCTGACAAATGGCTAATTCAAGTATTGTTTTGTAGGGATTTGATTGATTGGTTACAGGATTTCATCATGGGCTGACTTTGGTTAGAGAACCATTGTAAAACCAGCTTGAAGTCCTGGACAGCTGTTTCTTCCTAATTTGGTCTACGGGTTCGTCACGTAACACCAGGAAGTCCTGGGTTCAAACGCTTTCGGTAGGGGCGTACTAATGAAGAGTCTCAAACTAGGACGAGACGGCTGTCCAGTACTCCCAGGTTTTCCAGTGATTCGCTAACCAATGTCAGCTCATAATGAAATCCTGTCACCAAATGGCTAATTAATTTTAACTATTCTAAAGAACCTGTAAATTCATTGATGATAACCGTGAAAAGTCTAAAAGGCTAAATAATGAACAAAGCAAAATTGCCTTTTAAGACGTCCCGCTGACAATAACACCAGACAGCAACATAAAAAGGAATTCATACAAGAAAAGGGCAAAGTTAAACTTTCGACACCACTAACAACCAATCAGCAAACGACCTTGAACGAACCAATTACATTAAAGAGGCATATATGATGAATGGAAATGTATTTTTATAGAAAAAAAGCACAAAATAGAGAATAAAAAAGTTACATGGGATATCTTTCTCGAACATGTGAGAGAAACATCTCCCAGTTTAGCATGGGAATGTCAATGCTTTTCCATCTGCTATCCTTTCGACGAATCCCTTTCGGAGGGAGGTGTCATACAAACCTATTACCCAAATATTGTTCGTTCGCTAGCGACCACGGTTGTATTTCTTTTTTACCAGCACTGTCTCATCGACACGCACGATAACGTCTTCCCCACCTAGCAAACAAGTTATTTTCCCCATTTTCCATGATGCGATGTCTCTGCAATGCTGGTACCACTGAACTGTTGAGACATGGCTATTCTCCATCTCGGCAGCTGCTGCTCTCACAGCCTGTTTCAACACCCATTAGCTGCAGATATACAAAATCTGGGTTAGGGAGAGATGCGACCTAGTGAAAGTAAGTTCCTATGAAATATTAAAATTATCAGCTTACCCTCTCCAGATGAACAAACCCATCAGTTGATTTGGTATAGCTTTTTAAAGTAATGATACAACCACACAAACAAATTCGCTCTTTCCGGAGCAACTCAAATCCAGGAAATAGTGGAAAACACTAACCTCCTCGAATTGCAACTATAGCGTTGTTAGGTCACGCATTAGAAATGAATCAAGGGCTATACAACATTGAACTGCGTTCGTGAACCTCATTGGATAATTCACTGATTGGTAGTTAGTGGTGTCGAAAGTTTAACTTCGCCAAGAAAAGTACTTGGACCGGTTAATAAAGACATTTTCACAGCTTTTTTGCCCTTCCTTTTAAAAGAAATTTAGTGAGGACATATAGCAATAAGATCAGAACTGTTTGTTCAGAAGATAAGATTGAAGAAGAACTTAAAAGGTGTACATGACACGCTAACTGAAAGCAGGTACTTTGAAAAGTTCATCATTACAAATATGACAGAGATTACAGACAAGAATTCTTTTCTATCTTAAAACAATTAGTCCCTTTGATAAATTTGAATACGGCATTTAGAAGACAAATTTCTCAAGATGATGTCATCATTTCTTAGTTTCTTTACAACCGCTTTACAGCTAACATGGTTAATAATAACAATGAAATAAAATGCATGACAATATATGTTCTTTTCGACAACATTGGAACATTCTATTGGTTCTACCTTTATAGGTGTCACTCCAACTGCAGGTGAACTTGTAGATACAGTTTGAAGTAGAATCAACAGAATTCCGTCCTTTAATCGAAGGAAAAGGGATCGAAAATGTTCACCATATGAGGGAAAGAAATGCAGCGTAGAATGTGCGTTTGATGGCTCACTGAAGTCTTTGAACTGCAGTCGGAGTGACACTTATATAGGTAGAGCCAGTAGAATGTTCCAATATGGTCGTCGAAAAGAACATGTTCCATACAGGTTATTAAAGCACATAAAAAATCCCAATGCAATTAATCTCAATAGAAATCTAACATCATCAACCATTGCGAGCACTTATTAATGTCAGGTTACAAAATCAATATTAATGACCGTTTCACAATTATTTCAAAACACAACTCTCATTCAAGGTTGGTTATTGAAGGTGATGGAAGCACTAATGTGGATTAATCACATATATCGTAAACTATGTGTACGAAAAACAAGAGACTTTAATCTTCTTTATCTGCTAACAAGAAACCTCTTCCGCTTAATGTACGACTACATTTCAAAGGTGATAAATATACAACGAGTGAAATAATAACCAAAACAGTTGAGATAATCTATTCAAAGGACATTTAATGCTGACGGTTGGCTGCAGCTTAAATTTACCAAAAAAAAACCAGTTGAGCTTCCGTGACTGGAAGATAAAGTATACAAGCTGGCCAACTTTAATTGTATCTATCAGTGTAACTGCTCCTATGTAGCCAGCTGTACTAGTCTTTGTTCTAGGAAGCTCATTTTACATGCTCAGGACCACCTACCAGAGGGGCTAAATGAAGACGTCATTAAGATCATCAACAGCTCTATATTAGACCACCTCATACAAGTAGGCCACAGAGCTGTCATTGAAGAGTCTTGCTCTATCATCTACCGGGGATAGAACAAATTACTCAAGGCGCCTCTAGAAATCGAACACTCCACAGAGCAGACGCCATCGTAATTTGCTTAAATAGGCAGGTTCAGCCACTTTTGCTACCCTTACCTTCAGTCGAGCCTACAGATTCATAGATTCTCTGTTAATTCCCTTAGTGTATTTGACATTCAATCAGACTAGTGTTATATATTATTGCGTAGTATCTTCCTCATACTGATGCATTTGAAGTGTAGTCTGTCGACACTAACTACTGATTCAACGTTATTTAAAGTAGCAATAATGTTGTTAATAACATTATTTCTTTGATTATTACGGATACATGTGAATGTAGAATTTGATGATGAATTTATCGAAAAGAATATTCTTCGTTCATTGAATAGATAAATATTCAGACACTCAGTTTGCTGGGATTCAATAGAAATCGTGATAGGTTTAGTCAAGAACTACTAGCAGTTAAAGAACTATTAGAAACCATAAAGTACCGATTTGGGGCTGGTTTCGAGCCCTTGACCCAACCAGGTATATAGCCCAGGACTTTGACGTTATAAAACAGTCAGGTTTCCATTAAGTGATTCCTCAGAAAACCTCAGGGCTTAATTTCAACTGACGATACAGCACCAATGCCGTTCACTGCCACAGATGGGTATGTGTCCTCACACTATGGGGACATTGCTGATCGTGAATTCCCATTAGGATATCATGAAGTCTATCACAAAATTAGTCAACAATGAGCGGTTAACAAACTCAACTGCTCAATGTTAATATGCTCGGTTTGTGACCTGAACGTTCTGGGTATCACTAGTGCACGTTGATGAAGAGGCCTAAGCTCAGTTTTCTAGTGGTTTTAACCGCCCGTACTAAAATCTAACCTTTCCTTTATGCAAAGTTTCAGCTCTGTGGTATTATAACAGTTTCGGTATAATTACTAAACTTCTGTTTCTCTAATGGAATCTAGGAAGTGGGGTTCTGGACTGTTTGGGACTGTTAAGCTTGTTGTTCCTGCATTCTCATTGGGTGATTGTGTTGCCGTCTTTATGCACCTGTTTTTTCTGTTTTCACGTCATTAATTTAATAATATTATTAATGGCTTTATTTTAGAACAACACCACAGAGTTTTCAGCTTGATTTTATCTACCACTTGTACAAATACTCAAATTAAACAGTAATCTACCATACATCATTTAACGGAAGTTTGTTCTGTCTGTAAGATGCTCCAAACCCTGCTGTATTCGTCCCTTCAAAACAGACTAAGTCATTTGAAAATAGGCCTGGGTACAGATTATTCTTCAAGAATCTCAGTAGGCAGTGAAAACAAAGTATAATTGAGCAAACTCGACTCATTGTGCAGTATAGGAAATTAGCTAGCTCAATGATCTAAGTAGGGCACCACAGTGACGTTGATGAGTATTCTACTGTGTGAGGTCTTATAGCTATCCACTTCTACTGCATCTAATGACTTAGATGCCACAGCTAATTTTCTCAAGTTTTCCTCCATTTTGGAAATACAGCATTACAGTATGTCACGAAACTTTCCTCCACACTTACATGATTACCTATCCTACCAATTGGATAACCAATACTTCAGTATCTTCTAGAAACGAGAAAAAAGAGACATATTTCCTTCCTGTGAGCTTGCTTCAACTCTTACCAAAACGGTCCACAAGGCAGTCAAACTTAACTAATACATATGGCATTCTATAAATGTGTATCAAGTAGAGACATTTTGATAAACCCTTCGTAAACTTGATCCAAATACACAAAACTATTTGACCAATTCTTTTCAGCCCTCATGTTTATCTGATAAGAGACAAAAACGTGGTACAGTCTTCAGCTAGAATAGAATTCGTTGGGGAGGGAAATATTTGTAGGATTAACTCGTTGGTATGTCAATATTTATACTGTAGTATTCTTAGTAAGGTGCGTCAGTGGCACAGCGGTAGAATACCTGCCAACTGCGAATGTGATCCGGGATTCAATCCCCGGCCAACGCACTCCTTTACCTCCATAAACCAGTAATAAGACTGGTAAAGAGGGAAAGTTGGGCATGAGGCTAGCAACTCGATCCCGTAAAAGTAAAAATACCCCTGCTACCGAAACTTCAGGTCTCTAGCTTAAAGCCCTCTGTTCCACTTGGAACGTACAGGAATAAAAAAAGAAATCCTCGGTAGGAAACGTCAGTCGAATAAGTATCTGCACGCCTTTCTAAGGAATATCATCGACGAGAATTTACAAAGCAGGGGATTAATTTTGATACGCTTGTTTTTAAGTGACGAATCTCAACAGGTTATTTATCCTTGCATTAGACTGTCTGACCTGTTTTCCCTCTATCTTAATAGATAGACTGTCGAAAAATAACTTACTGTCATTCGAATTCATAGACTGAGTGTTTAAATTTTCTAGATTTTCAAAGTGTCTACGTTGTGAATTAGTTGAATGTTTTACTGTTTGTCCAGACCATGCCTCTAAAATAGTCTGATTGTTCAAATATTCACCGAGAAGTGGTTGTAAATCTTGTCGACGAAACCAGATGAGAAGTTCTTCACCAGCTTCTATTCTACGTGTTGTTCGATAGAATGACTGACCTGAATGGTTAGTGCATATCAATTCCATATTTTGTTCACCAGGACATCGTGCACAGCGTAGATTACAAATCCATTCAATAAGTCGGATTGGATCAGATAGGCGTTTTGGATCAGCCTGTTACAAAAACAGAAAGAGTAAAAATAACTATGAAGAATTCAGTTGAAGGCGTTTTGATTTCCTATTTTTATTTCGCCAATCTTCTAAATTCTGCTAAGGTTAATCAAGAGAATGAGTAGAGAGGTCTTTACATGATTGGAAGTACTAGTAGATCGGTGGCGTACACGTGTAAAATCGGAAGACAAGGGCCAAGCAACAAACCGTTTATTAAGGAAGTCAACACCTATTTATAGATTTTCATGTACATTATTATAGATTATTGTTAGCAGAAAAACACCGTCTTCTGATTGGTTGTTTCTCACAGAAAGTTAACCTTGCATCTCTTTGTGGCTGTTGTTTCTTGAATGTCAGATCATCCTGTATGTTAACTGCATTCGCCTACGCAAAGCCTCTGTTATCATTTTTCTCACGACCAATATTGGGGACGTAAACATTGATGTAAATTACTGTCCACCAATTTTGACTAACAGCCACACTTGTATGACTGGGCTACCTCATTTGCATCAAAATTTCTTATTGTTCCTTATCGTTTTAATCCTTTACTTATGCCCTACAATGTTTAAATGTACTCGCGCATATCCTTGACTGTCTTTCAAACTGTTAATGAGCATTTCGTGGAGACGAAGTAAAAATACCACTAAGGGATCAAACATCGCTTCAGATCCAATGACGCTGTGTCACATGTTATATCAAAAGATTGCTATTTCATTTCGATATCCTGAGTAAAGAGGAAATATTGTGTAATAATTTTCACTGAGCATTCTGTACGTTGTGTAAACACTCTGTCAAGAATAAAGCTGTTGTTATTAGAAGAGAAGATCAGTAGTTCAGCGAAGAGGGTGTTTTCCGCAAAATTCACAATCACAGCTGTACAATCTTAAATATATGTAGTTATTTTGTATGTGTGTGTTCTTTAAATTTGCCAAACGAAAATAGAATTACACTTGAACCAACACTTGAAAATAGAATTAATAAGTTTTTGGTGAAATCACGTAATAGAAAAGGCGTTCAGATCATTTGTATGTTGATATACCAGGGTAGAGACAGAAGTGATGAGTTGCCACAAATGATTATCAAAGAAGAGTTACGTAATAACCTGAGTAGTTTGATCAAAGAGTTGTACTCAGCGTGTACACGGAAACAAAATCAAGTAAACAAGCAAAAGTTAAGTCAAATCAACAGAGGTGTTACCATGATAGTAGAAGTGGTTGAATAATTTTCTTTTCACGATTTCATCATGAGCTGGCATTAGTTAGAGAACCATTGGAAAACCTGGGAGTACTGGACAGCTGTTTCGTCCTAGTTTGGGACTCTTCAGCAGTACGCACCCACCGGGATTTTCTTTTGTATGCATAGTTCTGCTTCTTCTAACTGAATAGCTACGGCTTCTATAATGCAAAGAAGGCTGTTCTTCCTCTCCGTAGATCACTTTGAAGGAGACGTTTGTTTCTGATAAATGAATGGAATAAATTCTCTACTCAAGACAAAAGGCTATATTATTCTCAGTTCCAAAGATCTATTTGCATGCAGTGTGTCCTAACTTCATAGACAAGTTTCATCTGAAAATCCCGAGAAGAACAATTATCATTTCAATCTGTATTCTATTCTTGACCTTATAGTTGGATGTATCGTTTCACTGCCTCCTTCTTTCATAAAACTTAAAACCATGGTTAATACTATGTCCCTTACCTTTCATTATCTATCAATCTAAAATTAGGGTGTTTTATTTTTCATTGTAGGTTTTCCCCACTTTCAATAGTTGCGAAATTGTTTCAGGTAAGTCCTTATGAAAGACTGGTTTTCATAATCACAGGTGGTAGTGTATTACGAATTCAAACTCATGATCCTGTAGAATTTAAGCCACTTTGTCCATTTAACTATGATACTTGAAAGACAGCTGAATGCTTATTAACTTTTTCGATACTATCAGATAACTGGCAGTTATTTTTTGCAGTTAAAATGTCTGGGTATCTGACTGGTAGTTCACAAGGTAGAGTTAAAGCATAAAACTCAAATCCTCTGAATGTTAAGTCAATAGCTATCTTAATTTCATCAATGGTTTCTTTTTACGAACTTGTAAGTTTTAACCCAAAGCGTTTATTGAGTACAGGTTTGATCACTCGCTGACGTCAGTCGGAGAACCAATAGAAAACCGGGGAGTACTGGAGAGCTGTCTTGTCCTATTTTTAGACTCCTCTGGCGTACACGCCTGAAGGGATTGAAACCTAGGATCTTCTGGTAAAAGGATAAACTTGTAGACCATCTTACCCCGGCACCCTATCCTTCGAATGCTGACTAGCGACTGGTTCTACAAAGGAAATTACCTGGAGTTATAGTCATGACCAGCGGGAGTAAACCAGGTCTGCCAAGAGGATAGTTATTCAAGGATAACACTGGCTGAATGCTGCTCTGTATATATCGTCAATAGGCAGTAAATGGAAGTCATGGGCTGTTCGATCAGGTCCCAATGGCTCAATGGTCTGAGAGCTTGACTTGTAACCGTGAGGTCTCGTGTTCGACCCCTGGTGTGGCCAAGTGTGAGTACTTCTGGACATTCCCGAACTCAAGTGAGATAGCTGTCCACTCCTTCCTGGTTTTCAGTAGTACTCTGAATGATTTCAGTCCACTATTTAACTTTACCCAAGAATGTTTAAATACCATGTACTCATAATTCTGACTTCCCAGTGATAATTCTGAACCACAATAATCAACCGTATTAAGCCAGATGTACTACTTCAACAAATGTGGTAAAGTAACTATTTTGTCCAACTTAGAATGTGTTGTTTGTATGCGTGTACCATGTTCACGTGGTGGGATACTGACAAATGCAAGTGTGGTTAGATATCCTCTGACTCATCCCTCCACAACTAGTGAAGTAACACCCCTTAGTTTCATATTTAAAGTCTTTATCATTGAGATTTGGAAACGGGTGCTGAATTTATTTATTATCACTGAAATCCAATAATCGACAGTGATTAAATCTTTCATAATTCCGAAAACCAAATTTTGAGTTTGAAAAGATATTAACTGAAGAATCATTGAAACTGATTAGATTCTGGACAAGTGCTTAGTCTTAGTGAGGGAACTTTCAGTGGTCCAAAAACTTGCGACTCTACCAGGGATCGAGCCTGGAAGCTTCAGAATATGAGCTGAGTCCGTGTACATTTCAGTCACTGGATTAGCAGATAATGACCTATAAATTCTAACTTGTGTCAAATCAGGATTTGGTGTCCCACTACTAGCTCATGTAGTGGATTACCAACCGCTTCTTACCTAAGTGCTCGTGAACCTTCATTAGAACTTCGAGACATTTGTCTCCCATGTTTGTGGAGATTAGAAAGGAGGGTTGAGAAGATTTATCGCCGAATGGTTTGGTTGTGAGGCTTTTGCTGTTTTACCTAGAAGGCATCTTCAGCGAAAACTTCAATGTAAAGTAAAGCTTATCAAGAACCGAAATCTGTTAAGAATCACGGTACAAAACGTCTGTCCCAGTTCTACAGAGGAGAACGAATTGTGAAACCATTTCAACACACACTGGAAGTAACCTTAAAACTTACGTCAGGAAGGAGGTTCATAACGAACGGTAGTGAATATATAACAAATAGAAACATCACAGATTGCATAATGATAGATAAAGATTTTCCAATCAACTTACATAAATTGTTGGTAATTCAGATAGTCGATCTGTTGTTGTCTGTGCAATTAAATAGGCTGGTTCACCTATCATTAAACTTGTCGGCAATGGTCCAAAACTTAATGATTCCTCTAGTACATTTGTAGTTATCATACCCATGATTCGTTGAATTAATAATGTCCGAAATGAAGTTTTTACTGATACCAGTTAACGCTATAGCACAGATGAAAGAAATGATAGAAAGCTTAAACTTTAAGACAACAGAAATTAATTTTGATTGGACACTAGTAACTAGTGTGATGTATCTAGTCCTTTCTTTGGTGCAGACTGAATTTTATCAGTCAGATTTGCAATGTAGCCACCATTCTAGGTAGCTGGATATCACGGTGCACACCGATTTGATGATATTAGATGGTTGGACGCAATCGGCAGGAAGCCTTGAACCCAGGTTTCGTGCTAGTTGGCACTCATCAGCAAGGCGTATCTGCAACCTTGAAGGAACTCACTTTTGAGAATGAAATCGATGAAAAGATATCTTTGCTGCTGAACGTCTTGTTATTTTCTCTCTAATGTCGCGATGAATACTTTCCATGATTTTAAAAAGTGCAAAGACCCTTCGACAGTGAAGGAACTCGGTTGGTCTCGGCGTTACTCTGTCAAACTTGCCAAAGTGAGTGCGAAATCGGACTTCTTTAAAAACTGTGTTAAGAATCATGAATACCTGAAGTGGTTCTGGAAAGCACTCCGAGGGCATCATATTCATCCGGATACAAAAACTCTTCAGTATCACTCTAGACATCTTATTGATTCTATTAATTCTCGGATATTCGAGTTGCAGAGGAACACATCACAGAGGTTTTCTGCTATTTACGAATTATCACGAAGTGAAAGTGAATCGTTTAGTGAATATGTTACCTTGGTGCAAAGCAAACAAGTTGACAGTGTTAAATCAGACCTGAACAAGAGCCTCAAACCCGCCGAAGTATTGAGGAAGTTCACCATCGATCCCAACCAATTTGCTTTCAACCTCTCCTCAGTCAGCTTGTCGACGTTAGAATTAGAAGCTGTATCTTTAGGGTTGAAATTTTGTGACATAAATAGGAACAGCAACAGACTTCACATGTATGTTCAACTAAAAAATCTTATCAGTCAAACAAGCAACGCCACCGCAGTCTCTGATGCAGAATTCTTACATTCCAAGTCTACAGTCTTCGACTGCTGCAATCAATATCTCAACTCGTAAACTAAAGTCCGACACCCATTGACACAGGAACACAAATAGCAACTCAAATACTTGAGAACCAACAAAGATATAATTAATACACGTCCAGAGAAAGGTTCAGGAGGGGTCCTCATGGACAGAGATATTTATATCAATAAAATGACAGCTCTAATCCCCTATGATAGCAAATTTTCAAAGCCAAACATTGTGAAAAATAAGACAGAATTGAAAGAACAGCAACTGACAGATGTTCTTAGAAGAATGAAGAACGACAGTCTCATAAATGAATGCGGGAGACCAACAGGATTAATTATCCCCGACTCTACCAAAAGTGCACAAAGCAGGTCTGCAACTTCTACCAATTTCAGACACGGCGGTAACACCATACCATCAGACTACCAAATATTTGTTCAAAATGTTGGAGTCTATGGAACAAAAACTATCCAAGGTACTTTTGAATTGATTGAATTTTAACTTTATCGACTTTTGATATAGCTCAGCTCTCATCAATGCCCTTGGTGAGGGGGATCCACTCCACTTTGACAGGGTAGACCCCACTGGTCACAACTTCTCACTGACGCTTCAGGTTATCCACCCATCCATTAATCATCAGTGACCTGGTGATTACTATTCAGGTTATAAAATTTATGAGGATTTGGAATTAATTTCATTTGTAATGTTCTTTTGTCACAAGTCAATATTAATTAGTGAAATCATTGAATACCACCAGTAGGGAGTAGAGAACAGCTAGCTGTTTCGTCCTATTTTTGATGAACTCTTCAACAACTGTTAGTTCATGACGTAAATCTCAAAATCCGCACAAATCCTATAAAATGAAAGACCAATAAAGCAGTAAAGTAGATTTATGGTGACGAAAAGTAGGCAATCGTTTGTGAAACTTGTCATCATTTTTATCACAAAATTGTTTTCTTGAAGCAGAATCATTCCCCACCCCACTCCCAAAAAATAATTTGTCTGTATCCAAGTGTTGGTTTGTAGGGTTTGATTGACTGGTTACAGGATTTCATCATGAGCCGACAATGGTTAGAAATCCATTGGAAAACCAGCTTGGAGTACCGGACAGCTGTTTCCTCCGTCCTAGTTTGGGACTCTTCATCAGTACACACTCACCCGGGTTCGAACCCAACCAATGTTATAACCAAAGTTAGCTAATGATGATATCCCTATAAACCATCACTTGAGTATTGATGAGCTGCTCACTAGCAACTTGCCCTATTCAGATAGGTAGTTACCTGGGGTTCTAGTGAGAAGTCGTGACCAGTTGTGTGCAGCAGGTCGGGTGTGAGGACAAATACTCGCCGAAGACATTGGCTAGGGGTCGCACTATATCGTGAATCGGCAGAAGTTAGAATTCATGGGCCGTTGGATCGGGTCCCAGTGGCTGCTTAATGGTATACGAGCTCGTCTTGTAACCAGAAGGTCCTGGGTTCGACCCCTTGTGGTGGATGCGTGATGATGAAACAGCATTCCAGTACTTTCCATTGGTTTTCCGAATGTTTTTCTAACCAATGTCAGCTCATGATGAAATCCTGCAATTTGTCTGTATAATTTGTGATGAGAAAAGATGGTGACATGAAAATAAAATTTAACAAGCTCCCTGACTTCAGATGAGCATTATTCATTGGACATTTTTTTATGCGGTATTTACTGTGTGCCATATTTTTTTTCCTTTCCATATGAATTATGACAATATGAAATCATCATGTGTAGATAATAAGCAGTCTGTTAACTGAATCAGAACGGTGGCTGATTCATTAAGTGTTTGTTAAATGATACGATAAAATTAAAGTTCTTATGGTCTTTAATAAAAATCAAGTCTGATTAATAAACAAAGAATATTAAGTTTTTCAATAACGCCTTCTTCTTCATCACATTCTACAGTTTTATGACTGGCAGAAATAATTAAAAGAAATACTGTTATTATTAACAGCATAAATGTTGTTTAAAAATTGCATTGAATCAATAGTTTGTGTCGACAGATTACACATTTCATTTACACATTTCATATCTGCCTAATTTCGCCTCATCCATATGTATCTACCAATTTAACTGCTCCTGTAGAGCCAGTTATATACGCCGCACAATTAGGCGTGTTCCTCGTCAAATTTCCGAACATCACCCTGCGTGGTTAAGCAAAGGTCAAACAAAATCCATTCATAGCGCTGTTGTATCTCATCTTGTTGATACAGAACACAGGAGTGATGTTAACTAGGCTTTCAGGGTCATTTACCGCATACCTACGAATCTCAATTTTCCCTTAAGAGTTCGACTACTAAGTATTACTGAGGCTGGCTGTTGAAATCCTTATTAACAAGCCTAATTGATGTGTCCAAAAGAAGCTAGTTCAGACATTATCCTTACCCTGGCCATCTAGGTTCAAATGATCCTCAATATCTGTGGAAATGTCCTTAATTTTATTTGATAATCTATTTGTTACTTTATTATTATTACTTAAGCATCTTTAATAAACTGTGATTCAATTGTAATCTTACTGTACAAATCGATATTATTTAAAAGACATTAATATTGTTATTAACTACCAATCTAGAATATTTTCTTTACATAAACATATATATAATTGTAGAGCCAGAAGAGGAATTTACCGAAAAGAATATTCTTTGCTCAATTATTTTGTGTTTTATACATTTCAAAAGTGTCACTAAGAGAGACAGAAAGATACTGTGCATTAATGTAACACTAAACTGATTGAATACCAGATAAGTTAAGCGAGGTAACACACAGAATTTATGAATGAATTTATAGGTTGAGAACAGCAGGCCAGAGTATAAACAGTGGCTAAATGGATGAACTTGTTTCTTTTGCACTCAGAACGCCGATTCTTATATAGACGAACTGCAATGCCCTCTTCTGTTTCCAGTGTTCAGTATCTAGAAGCCTTTGGTAATTTATTCAATACCCGGTAGACGAGAGAGACAAAAAGTTTTCAGTGTTAGCTTTGTGGCCTGTCTGGACTAATATCGATTTGGTTGATGATTTTAACAACACCTTCATTCAATCGGATTGGTAGATGTTCCAGAGAACAAAAGATCAGATTCCTAGAACAAATGCGATTCAGTTAATAGTGTTGTCATTTTGCCTCGGAATTCAAGAAAATCAACAGAAATCAGTTGACAGTTAAACGCTCTATTTATTTCTCCATGAAACTATATGTATACAGGACTTATAATGACAGTGATTTCTGACAACCTCACTAATGAATTGGCCCAGAGTGATCTTGTTTCCCACAGTTTTTTTAATGACAACCACCACTACCTGTAGACAACATGTTTTTCACTGCTTTAACTAATCTCACTTAATTAGTCGTTTAGTCATTTAACAATTGGTTACTTTTCATTACTATCTGTTGACTTGAAACAATAGAGAAAATAATATATGAAAAGGCATAGTAAGACTAATGTTCTTACAATAGCACAAATTTCTTAGATGATGACTACTCACTCCTAAGCAAACTCCCTCATCTCATTCTGACGAATATATCACTTACTCGCATGCAATGTTTATTCACTAGTAAACAGAACATAAATTTGAATTTGCTATCCTCTTATCAACATCCAATTCATCTGAACTCACTAATTGTATTTTCGTTTGACAAATTTAATGTATACACACACACACACACAAAATAACCATATATATTTGCGATTGTACAGCTATGAAAATGAATTCGCCGAAAAGAGACTCTTCACTGAACTACTTGTCTTCTGTCTACTAATGTTCGAATGGGAATTATTCAAAATTTGAATTTATATTTAGTTTTGATGCTATGGAGAAGAAGAACTGAAAACTTATCTATGTTAGTATTTTGGTAGTCGATAATAGCCGAAAAAAAGAAGATAAGAAGCTGTACATGTTACATGTTAGTGGAACGACGAAACGTTCATAAACAAATTTCAGAGCCTTTTGATTACTCCCTAAGATGCAAATTGCCTCTATCAGACACACATTGTAT